ACTCGATCCACGACGCTATAGAGCACAATCGCGGCATGGCACATCGCAATTCCGCACGGCGCAGGACAACACAGGCTTCGGCACGTTACATCAAGATCGATACAATCAGCATTGCAACTTGGCACGTTCCCTTGGCACGTTCCGTGGGGCGTCCCTTGGCGAATCCCCTTGGCACGTCGCGTGGCGCGTCCCCTGGCACATCCCGTGGCACATCCATTGGCACGTTCCGTAGCGCGGTCCCCTTGGCACGTCCCGCAGTGCGACCCCATGGCACGTCCCCTGGCACGTCGCCTGGCGCGTTCCTTGGGACGTTTCGCGGTGCGTCGTCCTGGCATGTCCCCCTGTCAATTAGCTCTGGGGCAGCTATCATGTGTTCTGGCAGCTCCAGCTTAAGATCCAGATCAGTTCGGTCAGGACTCGGATGCCAAGGAGGACTCGATCCACGACGCTATAGAGCACAATCGCGGCATGGCACATCGCAAGTCAGCACGGTGCAGCACAGCACAGCCCTCGGCAGGGTACATCAAGATCGATACACTCAGCATTGCATTTGCCCGTCACCCAATCAGGTGCCTTCGAAAACGTTGCCATGCGTTACATTTCTATATTATTTTCCGGGTTCGTGGGTCGATCATTTGTTTCCTTCGCGCGTGCGTGTATGTTGTGTGTATGTGTTTTCCGCTGCGTCGGATGTCTGTCTACGGTAGGTTCGCGTCGTGTCGACCAGCGGCGACACTGCCGCGGGCGGTCACCGTTGCACGCCGCCTGCGAACAAGAGTCGGTCGACGTTGAACGATCTGATGTTTCGGAAACGGCCGGTTGTTCAAGGTTGACCGATTCCTGCGGTGATGGAAACCAACGCCGAAGTCGGCACGACAAGAAGTTACTATATTCGTGCCCGAAGTGTGCTGGCCTCGACTTGCCTGCGTCTCCTCCGGCGTTGCCCGTGCGTAGTGCCCCTGCCATGCTGCCTCGCTCGCCTCCTCTCCAGCAGGCCATCCAGAGCCTGAGGGACGGCGTGGGCGCCTGGCAGTGCATGCCATTAGGATCCCATCCCGCTCGCAGCTACTTGGTGCGTCACCCGCCGATCGACTGTAAGAAATATCTTCGCCGCCTTCGGGTCCGCCAGCTTTTGAGACCGCTGCCACGATCAGACCACGGCAGTGGAGCGGCATCTGTTCTTGACACTCCCAGTGTAGCTCGTCTGGTTTCTTTTCGAACGTTCGCTCATCCAGGTGCGTTCATCACCACGAGTTTGAAGATTGATGTTGTCGCATGGTATTGACAAGTGCACATGGAGTAGCTGGATATGCACGGGTACAGCAAGGGGGCATGCATGGAGAAACGGCCTTTTGTTGTTCGGACAGTGTGAAAGGATAGTGGAAGCAATGGGAGTCGACATGTCGGAGAAGAGGGAGGATTAGGGGACGGAGGAAGAAGGAGCAAGCAGATTGGAAAGACTCGTTGCTCAAGTTCTCACGGGTCGGAGCGCGTCTTGTGTATGAGGAGATGTTGCAGGCTTTGCATGTCACCCTGCCTCTTTTTCTCCCCATCCTCCTCCCTCTTCCTCGTTCTGCTTCTCTCCCCCCCCCGTGGCGCCCCTCTCACGTCCTCCCGGTCGTCTTCTCCCCGCCAGAGCATATGTTGTGGGCGATTCGTATCCGCGGCATCGCGGGACGTGCCGCTGGGCCAGGACCCGGCGGATACTCGGCTTGTTACCCGGAAAGGGCTTAGGTCCAGGGTTCTCTTTTAGATGGTTGTTCCCCGGCCTCGACTTGCGTAGGGCCGGCGAATTCAATCTGCGATCAATAATGAGGTCGCGTGGGGCGGGCGAATCAACACGTTGAGGATGTCCCCAGCGAAACGCTTGTATTTGAAGTCCCGATTGATAGATAACAAGGTAAAGTAAGCATTGTTGTTTGTCGCGGATGTCTTGAGCGAAACGCTTGTCTTGCATGATGCGTTGAGGATGTCTCGAGCGAAACGCTTGTGTTGTTCTATAGATCGTTCCTCTCCTGGGGATCAGAATCCAGAGGATGTCTCAGGTGAACTGCTTGTTTTCGCGTGCCCAGGTCTTGAGGATGTCTCGAGCGAGACGCTTGGTTTCACGCATCCAGGCTGCCCAGGCAGATGTCTATCATCAGGAATTGTTGAGGATGTCTCGAGCGAGACGCTTGCTTTGACGTATCCAGGTCGCCCAGGCGGATGTCTAGCATGAGGATGTGTTGAGGATGTCTCGAGCGAAACGTTTGCTTTCACGTGTACAGGTCGCCCAGGCGGATGTCTAGCATGAGGATGTGTTGAGCGAAACGCTTGGTTTCATGTGTCCAGGTCGCCCAGGCGATGTCTAGCCTGAAGATGTGTTGAGGATGTGTTGAGCGAAACGCTTGCTTTCAGGCCTCCAGTTGCCAAGGCAGATGCCTTGCATCAGGATTTGTTAGGAACGTCTCGAGCGAGACGCTTGTTTTCACGCGTCCAGGTCGCCCAGGCGTTGAGAATGTCTCGAGCGAGACGCTTGTTTTCGCGTGTCCAGGTCGCCCAGTCGGATGCCCAGCATGAAGATGTGTTGGGGATGTGTTGAGCGAAACGCCTGGCTTCACGTGTTCAGGTCACCCAGGCGGATGTCTAACATGAAGATGTGTTGAGAATGTCTCGAGCGAGACGTTTGGTTTCACGCGTCCTCGTCGCCCAGGCGGATGTCTAGCATGAGGAAGTGTTGAGGAAGTCTCGATCGAGATGCTTGTTTGCACGTGTCCAGGTCGCCCAGTCGGATGCCCAGCATGAAGATGTGTTGGGGATGTGTTGAGCGAAACGCCTGGTTTCACGTGTTCAGGTCACCCAGGCGGATGTCTAACATGAAGATGTGTTGAGAATGTCTCGAGCGAGACGTTTGGTTTCACGCGTCCTCGTCGCCCAGGCGGATGTCTAGCATGAGGAAGTGTTGAGGAAGTCTCGATCGAGATGCTTGTTTGCACGTGTGTTGGTCGCCCAGGCGGATGTCTAGCACGATGATATGTTGAGAAGGTCTCGCTCGAGACGTTTGTTTTCGCGTGTCCAAGCCGCCCAGGCGGGTGTCTAGCATCATAATGTGTTGAATACATATGTCTCCAGCGAGACGCTTGCGTTCACGTGTGCAGGTCGCCCAGGCGGATGTCTAGCATGAGGATGTGTTCAGCGAAACGCTTGGTTTCATGTGTCCAGGTCGCCCAGGCGATGTCTAGCACGAAGATGTGTTGAGGATGTGGTGAGCGAAACGCTTGGTTTCACGCATCCAGGTCGCCCAGGCGAATATCTAACATGAGGATTTGTTGAGGACGTCTCGAGAGAGCGATTCTTGTTTTCACGTGTTCAGCATGAGGACGTTTTGATGATGTGTTCAGCGAAACGCTTGCTTCCGTGTGTCCAGGTCGCTCAGGCAGATGTCTAGCATGAGGAGGTGTTGAGAACGTCTCGAGCGAGACGTTTGCTTTCACGTGTACAGGTCGCCCAGGCGGATGTCTAGCATGAGGATGTGTTGAGCGAAACGCTTGGTTTCATGTGTCCAGGTCGCCCAGGCGATGTCTAGCCTGAAGATGTGTTGAGGATGTGTTGAGCGAAACGCTTGCTTTCAGGCCTCCAGTTGCCAAGGCAGATGCCTTGCATCAGGATTTGTTAGGAACGTCTCGAGCGAGACGCTTGTTTTCACGCGTCCAGGTCGCCCAGGCGTTGAGAATGTCTCGAGCGAGACGCTTGTTTTCGCGTGTCCAGGTCGCCCAGTCGGATGCCCAGCATGTTTAACATGAGGAGTTGTTGAGGATGTCTCGAGCGAAACGCTTGTCGCAGTAGAGTGCCAGTCCAAACCCGCCCGTCCGTGGGGCGTCCCCTGGCGCCCTGGCGCGCCCCCTGGTGCGTCCATTTCGACGTTCTGGCGTGACGTGCCCTGGCACGTCCCCTGGCACGCCAGTCGGCGTAGCACGTTCCATGGCTCGTCCTCTGTCGCGCTTCCTTGTTCGTCCTCAGGCGTTTCCCCTGCTCGTTCCGTTGCGGGTTTCTTGCAACGTCCCTTGGGGTATGACGTCTTCTGTCCGCCCCATTACACGCGCTTTGGCAGGTCCCTGACACGTCCAGGGCACGTCCCCTGATGCGTCCCCTGACACGTCCCCTGGCGCATTCCCTACTGTGCCCCTGGTACATCCTGTGGCGCGCCCGTGAGCCTGTGCCCCGTGTCGTGTTGTTCCTTGTCGGAGTTGAGTGGGATTTTGAGATTAAGTTGATTGCACGTCCTCCACGTTTCCACTTCAACTAGCTCTGGGGCGGCTATAATGTGCTCAGGCAGCTCGAGCTCAAGATGCAGGTCAGGACTCGAATGCTAAGGATGACTGGATCCACAACGCTATAGAGCACAATCGCGGCATGGCACACATCGCAAGTCAGCACTGCGCAGCACAGCACAGCTCTCGGTACGGTACATCAAGATCGATACACTCAGCATTGCATTTGCCCGTCTCCCAATCAGGTGTCTTGAAAACGTTGCCATGCTTCACATTTCTATATCCTTTTCCGGGTTCGTGGGTCGATCATGTTTTGCGGATGCCCCCGCGCGAAACGCATCCGTGCGACCGCGTATCCGTGGGATCGCGCCCTTGAGTCCAGACCGCGAGGGCGCGGATTCGGATAACGACGGTCACCGCTCGTGACGGCGGCGAGCTCCGAACCTTACCCTCGCCGATCAACGATTCTGGCAACTCGATGGGCGGGGGGGGCAGGGTTCGGAATCCACCGAACACGTGGCGAAGTCTGAACCCTACCCCCGCCTCCCCTCGATCCAGCAGAATCGATGGCTGGTGGAAGCGGGGCCCGGATGTCGCCACGCCACACGTCGTCAGCATGGGCGAGTCCCAGCCGCCGAGCCCCAGCACGCCGGCCTTCGTCCGTTGGCGCCCGGGCACTCCCGAGCCCGCGCGCACCCGCGCGCGCCTGGGCGGCGGCCGTTGGCGAGCCCCGCGCGCGCGCGGGCGCCCGCGGCGGCGCTCACGCGCGGCCCGCACGCGGCGCGGACCGCCCAGCGTTACCTGGCGCTGCGCGGCCATGGCGGCATCCTCGTCAGGACGCCCCCTCGCTACTTTCTCTCTCTCGTTTTTCCTTGTTGGGCCTCCAGAATCGGATTCAGAACGCACCCGGGGAGAGGTCCAGGGGGTAGCGGCATTGGTACCTCGAGGTTTCCCCACATCCGCCGCCGTCGTCCATCGCCATCTGGCGTCATCTTCGATCAGGCTCTGGGCTTGTTTTTTGTGTTGAGAGCTCTCCGTGACAACTCGGCTGGCTCCCCTCTCGACAGCTCTCCCGGCGCTCGAGGCTCGTGCATCCCGTTGGCAATCAATCATTCATTCTCGGATCCTGTCGCCTGTGACAAGAACTGTGCTCTCTACTCGTGTCAGTGCAGCGCCCGGGTATGCATGTTTACGGGCATGCAAACAAATAGGGGCGAACAGTATCGAGAGGATCGTCGTCGTCGTCATCTCGTCGCGTCCGCTTCACGCAACCGCTGGACGGCGGCCGCGGCCCACGGTGGCCGACGGCGGCGGGCGCCGACGGCGACGGCGTCGCCAGAGTGATGCCGACGACTTCAACGACGCGCCTCCGCTGCAGGAGTCGGCGCGGGCCGCGCGCCGCCCGCGTCCGCCAGGGGGGACCCGTGGGCGCTCCTGCTCGAGCAGGAGTCCTCTGCGGCCCACGGCGGCCCTCTGCGGCCCACGGCGGCCCTTGGCGGCCATCGGGCGTCGATCGGCAGGGACGACGAGAACGACGACGAGAAGAGACGTCCTCCTGCTCCTCGTCCTGCTGCTCCTGCTCCCCCTGATCTACGTGTCGTCCTCGTCGTCTTCGACCTCTTCTGACTGTTCCTTCGCCTCCCCGTCCTCCCAAAGGGCGAGGATCTTCGTCCTCTTAATCTCTCTTCTCCTTCTGCTCCTCCTTCTCATCCCTGAGGAGGAGGAGGAGAAAAAGGAGGAGAGGGGAGGAGGAGGAGGAGGAGGAGGAGGAGGAGGAGGAGGTGGTTGAGGGAGGAGGGAGGAGGGAGGAGGGAGGAGGGAGGAGGAGGAGGAGGGAGGAGGGGGGGAGGAGGAGGGGAGGAGGAGGAGGAGGAGGGAGGAGGGAGGAGGTGGAGGAGGAGGTGAGGAGGGAGGAGGGAGGTTAAGGAGAGGGAGAGGGAGGAGGAGGAGGAAAGGGAAAAGGAGGAGGAGGAGGAGGAGGAGGAGGAGAAGGAGGAGGAGGAGGAGAGAAGAGGAGGAGGAGGGAGGAGGAGGAGGAGAGCATCGGCGGCTGCTGTGGTTTCGGGCGTTTCGGGGGTTTTCTCCGGGCGGTGCCCAGGGAGCTCGGGAGTCCACCAGAGGACCTCGGACATCTTCGAGGAAGACGGCCCGATCCGGCTGGGCGCGGAGGTGAGAGTGTAGGATGTCAAGATCATGGAACTGGGGTTTGGAGCATCACCCGCACCAAGCGAGGGGGGGGGAGCGACCCGAATGTGAGACGGACTCCGACGAATTTGGACGAACCCCAGCGAGTGCGTGCCAATCCCCAACCCCCGCTCGCCGCACCTGGTGGAGAAGCCGCGCGACGGCGCGCCTCCCAGGTCACCGCCTCCCCGAACGGGGGGGCGGGCGATGCCTGGCCCAAGCGAAAGCAGATGGGGGAGTCCACCTCCCCGCGCAGCCCCGAGGCCGAGCTCAGGCCAAGGAAAGGATGAGGATGTCAAGGCTCCGTGCGCCCCGGCAGCGCCCTGGCCGCGCAGGCCAGCGACCTGAACGACGAGCTGTGCCGGGAGAATTGTGAGCTCAAGAGTGAGGCGGCCGCGTATGGGGGGGAAGGGCACGGGGGAGCAGCGGACCCAGACCTCCTTCGGGTCATACGTAAACAATGATGGCGTCTTTTTTGTTGTTTGCTATTCTAGGCCTCGTGGGGGCCTTACCGGGCCTCGGCACCGTCAAACAAATATTCAGGTTGAAAAGCCCGTCCCAGGGAATAGGTCGAGACCTCTGGGGGTCGACGTTATGAAAACATCATGGTTTCGTGGCGGAAGAGGTACCGACGCCTTCGCTCGTCCTGGAGAGGCCTCGACGCCACGGCTGGGGGGTCACGATCCATGCCAAATAATTCCATGGGGGCCGTTCTCGCGCGTCGGCCGCGCGCGCATGCCGAACTTTTTCCAACAATTTCATCGCCGACGCGAGGACGCCGTCATCGTCGCCGGCGTGATCAGCATCGGCGCCCACACTGGCCGCGCCGTCGTCGTTGCCAACCTCGTCACCAGCATCGCCACTATCATCATCGTGTCTACCATTATCGACGTTGCCATGATACCGCGCCCGCCCAAGTCGCCGACTCGCACTGAAGTGCCCGCTGGGATGTGCCCAGCAGTCAGCGCCACCAGGGCCGCGTCGGTCGCGCCAAACTAGCTGGCCGCTGCGCGCGCGTGCCTGGGTTGGCGCGGTCGCAGAGATGCACCAGCCAACGCCAAGCACTCATCGCAATCGCCACCGCATGGGTTTTGCAAACCAAGTTGCGGGTGGGTGGTTGGGATGTTTGCACGAGTATGTAATGTGTCATTTTGTTTGTAAAAAACAGTGGCACCACCTAGATTGTACCACGTAGATAACACCACGCACATACATGCATACATGAATACAGGTCTATATATATATATATATCGGAGGTGAGGGGTGAGATCGAAGTGGAAAGGAGAGCCCCCCTACCGGGAAATCGCTTTCGGTTTCGTGTTCGTGCGTGCCGTGCGTGCGGGCGAGGCGAAGCTGCGTGGGCGGGCGAGAGAAAGTCTCCTGTGGCTGAGGCGCGGCCGGACCAAATGTCTCCCTTCCGGGCGGCCGGGGCCCGCGGTGTCCCGCCGGTGTCCCGCTGGTGTCCCGTGTGGCTGAGGCGCGGCCGGACCAAATGTCTCCCTTTCCGGGCGGCCGGGGCCCCGCGGTGTCCCGCCGGTGTCCCGCTGGACGATGTTGATGTTTTGTTTTGATGATCCATAGTGAGATCGGTCGTGATATCGATTGTGAGATCGAACGTGAGATCGAATGTCAGATCGCTTGTGAGATCGATTGTGGGATCGATTGTGATACCGAGTGTGAGATCGAAAATGAGATCGATAGTGAGATCGATTATGAGACCGAATGGGATATCGATTGTGAGATCGATTGTGATATCGATAGTGAGATCGATAGTGAGACCGAATGTGAGATCGATTGTGGATTCTATTGTGAGATCGATAGTCAGATCGATTGTGAAATCGATCGGTTGAGTTAGTAGTGAGATCCCCATCGGTAATGAGATCGGTAGTGATTTCGATAATGGGATCGATGATGTGACCGAATGTGAGATCGATTGTGAGTTCGGTTGTGATATCGATAGTGAGATCGATAGCGAGAGAGATTGAAAGTGAGTTCGATAGAGAGATCGATAGTGAGGCCGAATACGAAACCGATTGCGAGATCGATTGTGATATCGATAGTGTGATCGATGGTGATACCGAATGCGAGATCGATCGTGAAATCGATAGTGAGTTTGATAGTGAGATCGATCGTCAGATCGAATGCGAGATCGATTGTGAGATCAATAGCGAGACCGAATGTGAGATCGATTGTGGGATCGATTGTGAGATTGATTGTGAGATCGATACTTAGATCGATTGTGGGCTCTATCGATTGAGATCGATTGAAAGATCGGTAGTGAGTTCAATCGTGAGATCAATCGAGTGCGACGTTGGTCCCTCCCCCCCTCACCCCCTTATCACCCGAAGGGTGGTCTATGCGGTATATGTATGTATGGATCTCTGTATGTATGTATGTATGTATGTATGTATGTGTGTATGTGCTTGCATGCATGCATAAACATATACATATATACATATATATATACACATATTCAAGGTGCAGCGCATCACGTTGGAAACCATACGTGTGAAAGCAATGGGGGAACCGTGGAGCAAAAAACGAAAAAATAGTATCCACGTTGCGCGATCGAAGAGGGAGTGCAGCCACAAGCGGCTTTGAGAGTGCTCTGCTTCCTTGCTCTGCTTCCTCGGCCCAAGGACACCCCAGCTGAATTGCCGTGGGCATATAACATGTCCATATCCGCGGCATCGAAGGCCAGGCCCACTGGCCGCGACCCCGCGGATACGATGCTTGTTTTCGCGCATGCCCCGTGCGGAATGCATCGGCGCGACCGCGTCTCCGCTGGACCGCGCCCCAGAATCAAGACCGCGAGGTCGTGGATACGGACATGTTCGTTGGTCGCGAACTTGTGCCTTGTCGGGCACCTTGCATACGTATGGTACATCCGCATGACTGGTTTCGAGCGCGGGAGGAGGACGAACAGGAATGAGGAGGGAGGACGCATGGAGGGGGGGTGCAGCAGCATCATGAGCGGGGGTGCATCGCTGCACGCTGGCGGGCACGCAGAGGAGGGCCCGGAGAGGTGGCGATACTGCGTCAGCGCCAGATGCAGAGGGACCGCGGCGGGGTTCTTCGCGCCGCTGATGCTTCGTCGTCGCCGCTGGAGGAGGAGGAAGAGGAGGGTAATCATATTCGGCATTGAACTTGACGCAAACTCCCCGCACAACGCGCGCGCAAGTGATTGCAGTTCAGAGCGAAGAGTCGTTCAGCCGACGGCACGTGGTCGAGGTCACGGTGCGGTCGTCGTCGTCGTCGTCGTCGTAGTCGTCGTCGTCGGAGGAGGAGGAGCAGCAGGAGGAGGAGGAGGTCGACACCCAACCGCCCGCTTGTCGTGAACGACGACATGGGGAGAAGGAAGGGCTGGCTTCCGCGATGGGGTGGGGGGAGAGGATACGTCGACCCCGAGCCGCCCAGCATCGGTGTCCCAACGTCGATTCCACGTCGACGTCTTCTACAGTCAAACCGTAGGGGCGGGGCCTGCGTTAGATTCGAAGGGGGATCGATGTTGCATACTTGGGTCTTCCTGCTTTTGGGCGCATCGCTTACACCCAGGCTCAAGCGTGGGCGCAAAGGAGTTTCGTTCCAAATCTAAGGTTCCCTGTGGAGGAACTTTGGCTATACTCCTGCCTAGTCCCCCTTCCTCCTTGTGCCCTTGTGATCCAGGCAGAGGAGGGGGCCGGATGGTCGGTGGTGCATGCCATGATTATTTCATCGTTTCGCTCACTCCGCCGGCCCATATTGTGCCATCGCAGGCGTTTGCGTGCGCGTTCGTGGCCTGCTGGGGCCTCTTGGGGGCCGCTTGGGGGCTTCGTGGGGCCTCGTTCGGGGCCTCGTGGGGCCTCCAGGGGGCCCTCTTGGGGGCCTCTTGGGCCTCCTGGGGGCCTCATGGGGCGGAAGGCTCGAATGGTTCGCGTTCCCCCTCCTGGGCCCCTCTTGGGGCCGTCTTAGGGCCCTCTTGGGCGATCTTGGGTGCCTCTGGGGCCGTTTGGGGGCCGTCTTGTACCGTCTGGGGGCCCTCTTGGGGGCCTCTCGGGCCGTCTTTGGGCGGTCTTGGGGGCCTCTGGGGCCATCCTGGAGCGTCGGAAAGCCGAAAAGACGAGAAGGCTGTAAACCGCAAGGAACCGTAGGAATATCAGTGATTTTTGTCTTGTGGGGACCTCTTGGGAGGCCTCTTGGAAGCCTCTTGGGCTGTCTTGGCGGCCTCTTGGGCCGTCTTGAGGCCATCTTGGGCGGCTTGGCGCGAATTTGAGACGTATCCGGCCCCTCTGGGGCGTTCTTGGGCGCGTGTGGCCGCCTCTTGGACCGTCTTGTGGGCCATCTTGGGAGCCTCTTGGGCTGTTTTGGGGCGTTCTTGGAGGGCTCTTGGGCCCTCTTGGAGCGTCGGAAAGCCGAAAAGGCGAGAAGGCTGAAAACCTCCAATAACCTTTTAGGAAAATCAATGATGTTTGCCTCGTGGGAGGCCTCTTGGAAGCCTCGGGGCGTGTTGGGGGCATCGAGGGCCATCGTGAGGCCATCTTCTGCCGCCTTGGGACGCTGTTGGCTTCGGGCCGTAGGGCCTGCCACCTATTTGTCGACTGGTTTGGCCGCTCCTGGACGGTTCCAGAGGCCTCCAGGCCCGCGCCCAAGAGATCCTGCATCTCTGGCCCGGACTTGCCGGGAGTTGCCCGGAGTATTTTTCGCTCTGGGACCTCCAGGGGCCGCCGCGCGCGCGAACTACGATATTGTTAATTTGTTACCGAAGATCTTAGTACGTCTCTGGTCAGGTGGGCTGGCGAATTCAGTTCGGCATTGCGTGCCGCGAACTACGATCCCGAGTGGTCTGATAACATGTTATGGCCACGGCGACATTCAACAATGGATCACACCCCGGCAGTTGAAGCGTACCAGCTCCGATCCTCGTTCTCTCGGGGACCCCCAGACCTGTCCTGGGACGCGCTCTGGCCAAGGATTCCGCTGGGCTTCCCAGGGGGTTGCCCAAACAGAGACGAGGCACATCAAAGTCCCCCGCTCCCTCCTGCCCCCCCGTCCGGGCCGAGCAGGCGCCAACGCTTAGTAGAGGTTCCGCCCGGGACTGCTCCACGCCAGCGTCGCGTCCAGAAGTCTTTACTCCAGTTGGAGCGATCTACTTCCAGGCCAGACCGTAGGGGTCAGGGTCGGCATCACGGGTTCGGCTTCGGATTATGGTCATGCCGCTCTCTCTCCTCCATCCTTCTCCCTCAATCGTCGGAAGACTGTGCCTCGTTCGGCGTCAGGGTACTGGAACTGACAAGCTGGTGGCGCGACCCGTGGTGCACTCGATCGGTGTCACGACAAGCAAGACCTTGCTCCCTCTCCCCTTTCCGCCCTTCTGATCCTGCTGCTGCTCCTCATCCTTCTCTTCCTGCTCCTCCCCTCCTCTCCTCCTCTCCCTTGCCCCTCATTCCCCCTCCCCCTTTTCCTTCTCCCCCCTATTTCGCTGCCTCCCTCCACCTCCCCCTCCACTCCCCTCTCCCCGAGAGGAGGATGGAGACGACGGGGCCGACGTCGACCTCATCCTTCTCCTTCTCCACCATGCTCCCCCCTCCCCTCCCGCATGGAGGAAAACGAGGACGAGGATTGGGCCGCCCCCGCCGCCGCCGACGGCGGCGCCGCCGCCAGCGTCGCCAGCGTCGCTGCCGCCGCCGCCGTTGTCCGTCGCCGCTGCCGCTTCCGCAGCCGCCGCCGCCGCCGGCGCTGGCGGCGGTGGCGGCGTCGTCGACGACCGTCGGAGAGCCGCCGCCGATCGTCGCCGCCGCTGGGCGCCATGCGGCGGCTCGACGCGTGCGCCCGCTCCCGCTCGGCGAGGAGGCCGCGCGCTCCAGGGGAAAGCCGGGCGCGTCGATGGCGGCGCGGGTGGCGAGCCTCACGCCGCGGGTGATGTCCGGCCCTCGGTGGCCCGCGGGGACGGGCGCCCGCCTTCGGAAGAGGAGAAGGTACCACCGAAGTCCGGGCCGCCGCCGCCGTCGCCGCCGTCGTCGTCGTCGGCGTCGTCGGCACCTTCGCCGTCGGCGCTGCCTGGCCCAGTTCCGATTTGATCCGATCCGACTCCGATGGTTCCTGGTGCGCGTGTTTCCGCTTTCTTCTGTTTTTTTCACCGTTCCGATTCCGAGTTGTCGTTCCGATCGAGAGAGGTCCTGCTTTATGACCCGCCACGGCCAGCGCCGGCCCGCGGGGACCGGCGCCCGCTGTCGGAGGAGGAGGAAGAAGAGGAGGAGGAGGAGGAAGAGAATGTGCCGTTTCCGCCACCCTTGCCTCGTCTTCGTTTTCTGGGGCCTCCTAGGAGGTTTTCTCCTCAATGTTCTGGCCAGATCCTAACGAGTTTGTATGCATGGAGGAGAGAAGGGGTGGGTGTGGCGAGGCCCGAACGACAATAGGGATTCACTTAAGTCGGAAGTAGGGACTCCTTGCGCTCTTCAGCCCAGCGTTGCTTGAAAAGGCGGCACAGGGGGGAATTGCCATGCAAGTATACTCTGAGGGGATCCCACCTGTAAGCAACCCGTTCTGGTCAATATTAGATATGCATCCGCCGTCTTACCTTCGGCTTGGTATGGACGGCTGCGTCCTATCTATGTAATTATCTATTTACGCCCCCCTGGTCGGCGTCACACCGATGCGTCAGAGTAAACTTGTTTGAATATACCAAATGCCATCGATCGGTACCTTGGCCTCCCCACGGGCGCCCGGCGACGCCGGCAGCTGGCGGAGGCTGCCGTTGCCACCGGCGGCGGACGCGAAATCCGTTGCCGCGACGGTTGGCCGGCGGCGGCAGCGGCCGATGGGCTGCGAACGAACGGCGGGCGGCGATGAGGCAGGGCGATCCCTGCTATCATACTGGCGTCTCAAGTGTCCCCCAATAGTTTTTTAGGAGGCGCCGCTGCGGCCCAAATTCGGCCACGTTCGCAGGACAGGCTTTCCGACAGAGTTCGACAAGAAGCACTAGTTTGCTACTAGTTTGCACTGGGCATTCTCTTCCACCCTCATCGTCCCATTCTTGTCTCCTCCCTGCTCTCCCTTCTCTCTGCCCCATGACGTGCCCGGCGCGTGCGAGAGCATGGCCAGCACGTGCAGCCGTGATTGCACCGGTGCACTCTTGTTGAGGCCCCAGGCTACAGTTGGGTCTGTTCGTTGTTGGTTCTCGGGTGTCCACCTTCTTCAATCCTTCATCGCTTTTTGCTGGAGGTATCGCGGAAGAGCCCCACGGGGGGGGGACGAGGAGCCCCAGACCGCCCGGTCCGACAGTCATTTCGTCAGATTGTTTTACATTTCCTTACAATTAACTCAAGAAGTGTGTTCTCGCCCCAAGGCGGCTACATGGTTGGTCCGGACGGCCACAATTTTTAAGAGCATACGCTTAGGTGCACGAGACCGTGCCCCCACCCCTGTCCCCTTATATGGCCGACCTCCTGCTCCTCGACCCGCCCCTTCTGCTGCTATCCAGTTGCCTGCGGCAAGTCCCGCCGCCGTGCCAGCCCAGCATTCTGGGAGGCGACTGTTCGAGGGGGCGCGGAAGGCCGTCACATGTGAGACTTCGTGTCTCTAGGCGTGGGGGAGCCGTCATGAGGATTATGAGCATGATGGGGGTGACGACGATGAAGATAATCGCGGACGATGATGACGATGACGATGGCGATGGCGATGACGATGACGACGATGGTGGTGATGATAATGATGTTGCTGGTGATTATGGTGATGGTGGTGGTGTTTGGTTATGATTACGGTGGTGGTAGTTATGATGATGGTGATGGGGATCATGTAGATGACGATCGATGAATGATGATTGATGGTCGGTGGTCGTTGGTGATGGTGGTGGTGATGATGCTGATGATGCTGATGCTGATGATTCGGATGAGGAGGAGGAACAATCTGCTGATGAGGATGATGATGATGATATCGATGATGATGATGATGATGATGATGATGATGATGATGATGATGATGATGATGATGGGAAGGAGGATGATCATGGTGATGATGATCACCATCATCATGATTCATGGTGATGGTGTTGATGTTGATGATTCAGCTGGTGCGGGTGATGACGAGGTTGGTGATGATGAGGATGAGGATGAGGATGAGCACCAGTGGAAACCCAAGAGCCATCAACGATGTTGGAATAAACCCACCCTCCATGTTCCCTCTTCGTAGGCCCCTACAACGGTTCTGTTCCATTGAGGGAACTGCCTCGTTGGAAGACAACAGTTGGAAAATCCTGACGCGTGCCAAAACATTGTTTTCCGGATTTAAGCGCCACGTATCAGTTTGATTGTTGCGTCTTGCCGATCCAGAATCGTGCCACACCGCCATTTTTGAGATTTCAACACAGCGAATCAACATACCGATTACGACCGCATGTTCTCGAATCCTTCCAACACACCTTTTCTGGTACGGTGGTCATGGGAATCCGTGAACCCCTTGCAAGTGTTTAAACGGATATGCGCGGCGGTGAAGCGAGAGCCACATTTCGAAGATGAGCCGCCCTCAATCCGTAAAGATATGGCATATGTTTATATCGAATGCTCGCGGCGCTGAGGCGAGAGCCGCATGTTGAAAACCACCCGCCCTCAGTCCGTGAAATGTCTTGCAACTTCTTACCACGAATGAAAGCGACGCTAAGGTGAGAACCGCATTTTGAAGAAAACGACCCGCCTTCAATCCGTGAAACGCGTGCAAATGTTTGAAACGAGCGTGTGCGGCGCTGATGCGAGAGCCACATTTTGAAAAACATCCGCCCTCACTCCGCGAATCGCCTGCAACATGTTTAAGGCGAATGAGCGCGGCGCTAAGGTGAGAGTCACATTTTGAAGAAAACCACCCGGTGTCAATCCGTGAAGCTCTTGTAATATGTTTAAGACGAATGAGCGCGGCGCTCGGGCGAGAGCCACATTTTGAAAACCACCCGCCCTCAATCCGTGAAGCTCTTGCAAATTTATTGAACGAATGTGCGCGGCGCTGAAGCGAGAGCCACGTTTCGAAAACCCTCCCCCGTCAATCCATGAAACGCGTGCAGATGTTTCAGCCGAGGGCGCGCGGCACTAAGGCGAGAGCCACATTTTGAAAACCACCCGCCCTCAATCCGTGAAGCGGTTGTCACGTTTTAAGCTTCAGAATCAAAAGTGGTGAGGAAGGCTCAGGCGAAACGCCGCGCCCGCCCTACACATTGGCCTCGGGGTGCGACAGGGAAGAATTATCTATGAGGAGAAGGAATTGGGAATGATGATTGTGATGATGATGATGGTGGTGATGATGATGATGATGATGATGATGATGATGCTGATGGGCCGGTCGATGGAGCGGGCTATTCGGCGCGCCCGTTCCAGCGACCGCCCGCGCCGAGGCGCCCGCTCTAGCGAGGGGGCGGGGCCGAGGCGCTCGCCCCAGCGGCTGGCGGCGCGCGGGCGGGGTCGCAGCCGCGGCGAAGGCAGGCGCTTATCTGTTTTATTCAGCGCTGGAGGAGAGGGGCGCGAAGGGAGATCGACGGTGAGACTCTGAAGCCAAAGGAACACCACGCGAATCATTTGTTGGACAAGACCGCAGGACAGCTGGCGGCGGGGGCAGATATTGCGATGAAGAAGACGGCTACCGACGGGGAGACGTCGCTTGAGGCGACCAATCCAATCTCCAAGGTTAAGTGAGAAAGAGCAGAAGGCCGCGGGAAAAAAAAAAAAAAAAACAAAAAAAAGCGTCGGCGAAGGGCGACGCGACGCCCCCTGCCCCGCAGGCGCCATTGAATCGAAAAGGGGCACGGGCAAGGGCAAGGCGGCCGGGGCGCCGGCGAAGAGCAACAGAGAGGGCGTCGGCAAAGGCGCCGCGGGGGGTCGCGCGGAGGTTCGCGGCCGCGACTGCTATGCGCACCTGTTGCGTGGAGTTCTGGGACGAGATGAAATATGATCATGATGGCTCTGGCTCGCAGATCCCGGCTCGGGCGCGGTATCGCGGCGAGCCCGCGCCGAGAAACGTAGCGTTCAAATGCGGGAAGCACGCGCCGCGCGCGGGCCCCGGCGAAGGGCGGGCGGCCGCCGCTGAGCGGATTGCAGCTGGTTGCGGCAAGTGAGCGAAGTTTCGTCCCGCGCACGCGCGCCGCTAGCGCTGCGTTCGCTGCGCCCCCGACAGATTCCGACGGCCGCCGCGACGTCGACGGCGCCGCTTTTCTGAGCGGCCGCGGCGATTTGGGGAAGGGCGCTTGCGCCGTGGGGATATGCGATCAATCCCCGACCGTTCATCGCCCGGGCGCTTGCGCCTCGTCGGAGCACCGAAGGGGGTTGGCGCGCGGGGGGCGCGCGGCGGGAGGGGGGAAATCGATGCGACAGGGGGAGGGGGGGGGGCGGGGCGAGGGATAGGGCGCCACTCCCTAGCGTTAACGGTTGTTCTGCCCGCTCCAATATGTTTAGCGCTCGCGCCGTCCACCCCCTTGATGGCTTGCGCTGCCCGCTCCAGTTAGCGCTCGCGCTGCGCTGCCCCCCTCTTGGCGCTCGCGCTGCCAACGCCTGTTAGCGCTTGCGCTGCCTTTAGTGCTTTCGCTGCCCACCCGATCGCCTCCGGGCGCGACCATGCGCTGAACCCGAGCGCGGCGCCACGCGTCGAATTCAAAGGGGCGCCCCGGCCCTGGCAAGACCCGGCCCCGACATGCGACTGAGGGTGGCAGGGGGGGGGGGGAGCGAGCGCTAAAAGCGCTGGGCAGGGCGGAAACATTGTTTCCCAACCGCCCTGTGTCGGGTACTCGTGTTGAAGTGGCAGCGCCCCGAGTTCCCCATCCCCCCCCCTTCCCCCCCCCCCCTCCCTCCTCCCGTCGCCGCCCTTATTTTGGCGCGCCCCACGTGCGTTTCGCGGCTCCAGAGGGAGCTCCGCCGAATGTCCCAGTGGCGCAGTCCGCATGCGGTCC